AGTTAGTTCTTTTGACTTCTGACAAAAGAGAAACAGTATTTGATGTTAGTATTAATCGGTGGTTTTCTAAATGTACATTAAACAGCACAACAGTCAATGGAACATTTTCTAAACTGGCTACTAAAATCATAATGTATCAAATAATTCTTTATTGAAACTTGTAATTTCCAGTTGTTATTTTGGATCGAATTGACCGACCTCTGTCGGTATATGGGGTCCTAAGCAGATGCTTTAGCGCCTGAAGCGATGGGTGTCGAGTGCAGTCTCACAAAGAAAAACATCACTTACTGGGGCGCAGGCACATCAAACTGAAGAGTTCCAAATAGGAAGAAACGCGCATCGTGAAGTATCTGCGTCAAAGTTCATCCCCCGACAAAGGTTTAGTAATTCGGGCCAGCAGAACAACGAAGAAAGAGAAATATCAAATAACTCCTGATGCCTGTTGCACAAGAGATGGCTCTTCCACCCCAGTGGCCTAGATGATGAACCTTTGACATTTGAAGTGATCGATACTACGTCCTGTTCTCAGTGGCACAAACATCACTCACTGAGCTGCAGCTATATCCAGCTGACGAGTGAATCCCAAATGAAACGAAATGTCCACCCTCCACCACACAACAAAGTTAATTATAACTAGCTTTCCTTAATACCCATTTCTTTCTCCTCATTTATTCTCCTGTCAGCATTCTACTACACTGTCGATTTTCTCACTTTGTACGGTCGCTAGGTGATACATGTAAACTGATGATCTTGTACACACACTTCTGCCTTCTTCTTATTGCTCAAGTTGTCTTGCCATCTACCTATCTGTCTGTACATCTACATGCAGTATAACGACACTTGTTTTTTGTGATGCAATTCACCTACAGTCTGATAGAAATCATAAATTTCCTTACAACATCAAGATAGGCTAACGCTGATGTGTGTTTGTGTATGTCTCCTTATGAAGTCACTAAAGTGAAAGAGCAATATGTGAATACAATTAATTGGACTTTGTTGCTGCCTGTGAAACCTGAGGAGAAAAAGATTGTACTATTAGCACATTTATAATAGAGTCGACTAGATTCCATCCAACATTCAATATAAAACAAACAACACTACAGATTGTGACCAACCTTTGCTAGCTATGTGCAAAAATCCTTCAAAGTCATATGGTCTCAACACTTTGAAGTCAACAACGCTTAAAATATCCTGTAAAATGAATCACTTCGAAACTCGTATTAGTGTTAACTGTAATCAATGTTAGTGGAGAAATATTTTCAATTTAAATATGCTGTTGGAAAAGATGAGCAGCTAGAATCTAATTACTCCGTTCTGCAGATTTTGTGAGTGAGATCAGAGTGATCTGAAGACTAGATGGTGATTTCGCTCATCTGAAATTAGGTTGATCAGTGATGGGTCGGATAATACTCTACTCTACTCTACTCTACTCTACTCTACTCAACTGTACTTTCAGAGCAGTTGAATTACTCAGTTTTTATGACTTCAATAGAGTAGTAGTTTATTTGCGAATTGGTCATCCACTTGACAGAGAACAGTTTAGACTTTTAATGCATAATATTCATTGTCTAGTACGAATAGACTGTATTCGTAAAATCGCTTGAATTCATCACTCGTAAATCTATATGATGAGTTGGTGTTATTAACCTGGTGGTGGCTCTTAGTGGGGTTGACAAGGCGTATTTTCTTCTACTTAACACTTACGATCAAGTACATGGACATGGACCTGCATGTCAGTGAATAATGGTGTTTCCACTGAGACTGGAAGCCACCAACCATCGCTTCAAATGCCACAGAGTTATTCATTAGGCTACCGAGTCACGAGAGTCACCTCCTATGCAATTGGTATCATTTTTTGTTTATTGGTGCCTTCAGTTTCCGATTCTTTATTACTATCATTATTATTATTATTATTATTTTTATTAACCGTACTAACAAAATACTCGACATAATGTTTACTGATAGATGGTTGTGCTTTATTGTACGAAATCAGATACACGGAAGACACCTGTCTCATCAATATTTACCAACGATTAATTAGTTAAGAACAGTGAGATGGTTGTCTGTCAGAAGTGGTAAGCACTTGCCAATGAATCTACATCTCAGAGATGCCTCCTCGTTCAACAGTGCGATAGCTCATCACTTATGTGGGATGGGAAGTTAAGTAGATGTGATGAAATCCTCCACAGTATTCAACACTTGAAAGATCTGGCACCTACTTCGAATTGTCTAAGCCATCACTGTCTGACGAGTTCCACTGGGAGACTGTGTGTTCAGATGGGGATAGTCATTAGTGTAATATTAGTAGCCTGGTAATTGATGACCTTCACTCTCTTCTATTTCTCAAAACATTTCCAACACATTTGTTTTGTGCTTATTGATGTTGATATTCATATTGATTATCATCGTTTCATTGTTAGCGCATTTGTTATTGATACAATAGTTGTATCTCATTGAGCTGTCATTTTGTCAACATGATATTTTCCCATGATTACGTAACTTATTTTACTCACTTGTAGTCATATCTCACTAATTCGTGATTATTCCTTAACCCATTCTTAGTACAGGGGTCTGCAGCTACATATGTCGGTCGTCATATTGACCCTGTTTAGAATGTCTACGTTTGCTTATACGGTGACTTTATAGACTGATCTCGTTTTTTATACTGATCATCTCTAACTATTTTCAAGACTGCCTGCTTTTTAGCCAACGTTGTGCAGCAGGCTACACTATGATTAGACATGCATGATGCGTGTCTCAGCCCAGTGACCCGCTTGAGTTTGCACACGCTATCAGTTGACTTTTCAGTGTAATTGTGGGTCATTACTATTTTTATGTGTGGTTAATTGCGCAGTGTGTGGGGGTAGTTGAAATAATATTCCTAGCTCATCAACAGGTATTACTGGTTAACTGTAGTCAAGTGGTGAGTTGAAGTAGATTACCGACCCACAACTCGTAGTGTAATCGGTAGACTGCCTATCCAATACCCCAGACGCCGGTTATTCGAATTCTGCCACGACTGGGACTTTCACTACACCTTCTGTCATCCCTCAGTATCAAAGTTCTTTTCTGACAAGTGTAACAGGTACGATATAACTAACAAACAACCAATCAAGAATGTTATAATGGTCAGTAGGCAGGTATTGAATTGTAATCAGTTAATATTAAGTTGTAGGTTGATTCTCCTTAACTTGACATTATTGTCAAGTTATTAGCTATAATAAATTGACTTGGATTGGAAATCGAAATTACTCATTGATTATTAGGGAAATAAATGATTTAATTAGTTTATAACAAAGAAATGGGAGTGATTTATTCACTCGGATATAGGTATATTTTGATGGCTTATTTTCACATGAACTCTTTTAGAGAACATGCAACGAACTGTATCTATAGAGAGAAAGAGAGAGGTAGAGAAAGTAATGCATAATCATTGATGATATCTTCTAATCAAGCATTTAAAAACAAAAACAAACAAAAAAATTATTTTATTTGAGGTTGTTATCTGATTTTGTTTATCAATTTAATTATAAACTTTGTCAAGAGAATTCAATCAACACAAAGAAAACATTACATCGCCTACTGTTCAGTGACCGTTCTGTTGATAATTGTAGTGTGCATAGGTTGATAATGAAATCTGTGATACTTGTTCTGATATCTCGAGATTTTATTTTGTTGTATTGAGTGAGAGAGATTTGCTGTTGATGATTATCGCCCGAAAATATGGAATTTATATGAGAGTATCTTCACCACAGCCTTCAACTACTCACTAACAGAAGTGAACAGTTTTCTGTAATTTATGTAGCATTTAAATGACTTTTGTTTATCGTTTCTTAGAAGATTTATAGTTCTGTTCAAGCTAAATTGTATCAGCTATGACTATTTGGAAACTTGATATACATCGAAGACTGACATCAGTTGGAGGAACAAAGGAAACTTGGGAGCACTGGACAGCTGTTTCGTCTTAGTATGGCGCTATATCGTGAGCTAACAGAAGTTGGAAATATGGAGCATTGGATTCTGACCCAGTGGCTCAATGGTAACGCGCTGGTCGTGGAACCTGAAGGTCGCGGGTTCGATCCTTGCTGGTGGGTCGTGGGTGCGCACTGCTGAGGAGTCCCATACTAGGACGAAACAGCTGTCCAGTGCTCCCAGGTTCCCTTTGTTCCTCCAACTGATGTCAGTCTTTGATGAATAACAACTTGAAATATTTCCAAATCTCCACAACCCCCTCAAAATTTAAACTTGATATAGTTGATCGACTTTATAAATTTCAACAGAATAATTCGAAAGTGTATTTTATCTGAAACATGTGATATATTAGCACAATAGATTTCGAACAGTGAAAAAAGTAAAATTAAATATTAAATCAGAGTAATATGGACTCATTTTATTGTTTTGGCGGTGCTTATCAGCTGCTTACAATGTAAAATATTTACAGTAATCAGTGACAATGAAATATTGACACACTTTTGTTCAATGAGTTCACTCAAACGGAAACAGTGACGTAGGGAACTAAAGAAACTGTTTGAAATAAAATAAAGTCAAAATGTCATATAATAATGTCATAAATGTGTATCTTATTGAAATGGTGATCCTCGTAAAAATTAGAAGGGTAGAAAAAAAAATCAATACTGTGGAGTTTAAAACAAGAAATTGCGTAATTTAGTGATTAGGTAAGATGGTAGTAATCAGAAAACAAGGTGTAATTGAATATTATGAGTAGAAATCAGGGGATTACGATTGAGGTTTATTGTGAACTGGAAATCTAATGACAGGATAATCATGTAATCAAGTAAGTGGAAGGTTAAGAAGTTAGGTTATCATGAGAATTAAGGATTGATGATGGATTTCTTTTGAATAAATCAAGTTTGATTGTAATGGCTTTAGGGAGGGAAAGAAGATTTAAATTGTTCTATTTGTTGATTATTTTGAACGATTTCAAAGCTCCTATTTGATGTTCTGTGTCCACTAATTGCTTATTAATTACACTATTCTAGGCTCTTTAGGACATGTTCAAAAAATCGAAGGTGAGCCGTACTTTCAGTTCTTGAAATGTAACTACTTTGGAAGATGCATGTGAATTGATACACATAGTTGGAGGTAACTTATAGGGAGGCGCCTACCGATTTTTTATTGTATTCGCGAGCAAGAGGTACGAAACAAGCAAACTGACTTTGCTGCAGGATACGTCTTTTTCAGTGCAGTGCTTAGTCTCGGGTTTACCGTCATCACAATGTCATCACCTTTGAAGTCGAGGTGAATGACGCCGAAGTTCTTTGAGAATCATACCATTTAGGCATTGCTTACATCAAGGTGCACCTTGTCTACTTGAGACCATTAATTGAGTTGAGGCAAACCAAATTTATTTTCACGTAATAGGCATAAGGTTCCAGTGTTTCATTTGCTTAGTTAAAACGGTGTACATGAGCATCAGCTGCACAAATTTATGCGATTACTAGTGGTTATATTTTATTAATTTGAAATTTACAGCATCCCAATTTATTAAGCTTCCTATCCACACATTTAGCTCGACAACAAAAGCTTACGAACTATACTACTGAACAACTTGAGTAGTTAGAAACCACTCAGGTAACCTGTAGATTTCGCCAACCACATCAGACTGGTCTAAACACCGGATGTGGGTTTCGTTCGTTAGTGGCCGAGCTCATCAGTGGTGTACTCGGATAGCTTATTGAGCCGAACTGTTCAGATTATTTGGATCTGGCTAACTGATTTACATGAACCGGTATACTTTAAATAGGATGATTAGTTTTCAAATGTAAATCATTTTAAACTGGCCTATCTTTTACCTCTTACAGTTAAATGTTCCTCACAACTTCACAGTAGAAATGTTCAAATCCTGTAAAAAGAATTTCAGATAATTCACGGAGCTGCAGCCTATTTGTTTCAATGGTTATTCTACAAATAATGAGTCATCAACCTGACTCAGTCTCCGTACACGGAAGTTTGTAGAACCAGGTAGTTTCATTCAGGGACTCTAAAGGCCATCATAGTAAGCACTAAAACAACCAATCGAATTTTCTATTCCAGATGGGATGGTAATTTTTCCATAAAATGAAAAGATCTAAATGGTTATTTGAGTGGTTGCTAGAGTGGTCTGTAGACAAGATGTGTAATTGATGCGTTTGTTCATGACTGGTTTTGTTGTTTGTAATAACCAATCCCACTAACATTAGGATCTAATTAAAAGTTATCATCATATTTCTAGTGACGGTTACTTGGTTTGAGCTTCTGTGGGAACATCACTCACTGGGGTGCACGTGCATCCAGTTGACGTGCTCCGAAAGGGACGAAATACGCGTTCTGCATTCCATTGCTGGCCACTAAATAGACTACAGTATATTTTCCCACCTCACTTTGTATTTTAAATACTTAGAAAGATACTTCATAAGCCTAAGCAATATCTTATCTGGTTATGTTTACTCATTTAGCTATTGTAAGTTTGATCAGTGGAAGGACAGTTTGTAAGTGCCCTTTATCTCATTCTGCATTCGTAAGCGAATACTCTCAAGAAGATGGCAAGCACATTTTTATCATGTTTAGAGAGACGAGTAAATGGTGTGTCGAACAGATAAGCCGACGATATTCTTTAAGATCACTTTAAAGAAGAAATGAGTTTATTATCATTATTATCTCAACTTCATATTTTATATTTGATTTTTTCAGTGCAAAGAAGCAGTAGTCTTGACACTGAAGGTCAGGCTGGAAAATCAGTCGATAAAGTTGATGATGGAGAACTGAGAGAAGTTGAAAAGCCTGAAAGTTTTAAGAAGCGTGCACTAATTTGTGATGAACAAAGGGTTTGTAGACCTGGGGAACTAGATGATTCAAATACGGAAGAAAATCATGGATCACGATTATCTGTTGTAGATCGTACAGCTGCAGAAAGAATTTCATACCGTTTAATTCAACAACGCAGTTTAGATGTAAGTCAAACAATCGTGTTGGTAGATAATAAATTATTTGTCTGGTACTTCTATAAACTATGAAAGCATTTTTTTATACCCTTGTTCGTTTACTTGAAGTGGGTGTTTGCTAATCCAGTTTAATAAAACTGTCACTTCAACCGCAATGCCATACATCTGTTCAAATATATTCGCTATGTTACTGAATTGATCGAATTCAGGGATATTTTGTTCAATGAAAATAAACACTTTGGCCATGAAACTGAATGGTCGTTTCCATCTCGATAATTATGATAACATCTCTAATTTAATACATCTTCGTATTACATGTAGATATTTATGTAAATGAAACCAACAATCTTCTCACATTGACATTCACTGACGTTAAAGGAATAGATGAATGCAATGAGAATTCAGAATTTTGAAGGGTGGAAAAGTATGATGTGTGTGAGATATACTAGTAAGCAGATGAAAGAAAAGATTTTGGGACTAAAATTTTCTTATAGGTCATGACCACATGATAAACAAGTAAATGGACAAACTTCTTTTTAATCCAGATTTCAGACATCAAAATATATGAATTCCCAAATCTTCTGCAGTTTGAAGAAGTTTCAAATGTACACCTTTTACGAGGTTTGGATGAACCCTATAGATAATACTGAAGTTGTTTCCTGCATTTACCGGATATTCAGACTAACTTTCCCCAATAACTCACTCCTTCGATTATGCGTAAAGAATAAGCTAGCTCCCTTCACCATCACTATTGTTTTTATCTGTTTACCCACCCCGTAAGGTAAGGTATGTTAGCCTTACTCAAGATTTGCTTTTTAAGTGTATTTTCGAGTATAGACTAGCCTGGATCCACAAAGGAGAAAACCTTACAGCTCTCTCTATCTTAAAAGATTTGATCGATTCTGTTCACTCGTTAAATGCAGAAAACAACTTTAGTGTTATCTCTGACCCATTGAAACCTCACGAAAAGTATAGGCCTAAAACTTCTTCAAACTGAGGAAGATATAGTAAATCACATTTTGATGTTTGAACTCTGCATTCACGAGACGTTTGTTCAGTCATTCTGTTTACAACGAACGTAACCTGTAAGAACATTTTACCCTAAAATCTTTTCTTTCAAGTGATTACTGACATATTGGATCCTCTCACACGTTCTTCCATCCTGAAAATTCTGATTTCTCATTACATTTATCAATTCCTTTACCCATACTTCATTATTCAGCCTAATAATATGTTGTTTCTGTCTTGATAAGTCTTCATCTCATTGCAATCCTAGGCATTATGTAGTTCTCTTTCCGATTTCCTGATTTAGGAACAAAACTGAATTTTTATATGAAGTATGATCAATTTTGACCGATTATTATCGTAAATATTTGGTTCTGAGGTAAAAGTTGACATAGGGTATAGGTTATTATTTGTGTCAATAAAATAATTCCAATTTGTCACACTGAAGTTTGGTTCGAACTTCTTCAACGAAATAATCTAAGTTAAAATATCAAAGACATATAAACACTTAGCAGTCAAACAAAGCTCTTGATGATTGAAGTGAAATAAAATATGGACTGCAGTCGGGTCTCGTATCTCAGTTGACAGAGCAACGGGTCGTAAACCCGGTGGTCACTGGTTCGAATCCTGCTGTGACTTGGATTTTCAGTTCACCTTCAATCATCACTCAGTATCAATACACGTCTACCAAACCATACCTATCTCAGATGACCAAACCATGCAACAAATATATTAATTTCGGGTTGGTATTCATCATTGACTGATATCATTTGGAGAAATATTAGAAACCTGGGGGCACTGGACAGCTGTTCCGTCCTGGGGTGGGACTCCTCAGTAGTGTACACCCGTGACCGCCAGGGGTCGAACCCAGGGCTTTCAGATTTCATGGTCTGCACGTTATCATTGAGCCACCTTCAAATTGAGTAACTATATTAATGTCAGTTCATGATGAACACTATCTTGAAATAAATAAAATCCTCATAAGCTTAAAACTAAGTAAGAGAATTCAAAAATGTGCACGTAATATCATCGTCTAATCTTGTTTGTATTATCTCCGTTTTCTAAAATACGATAACTAGACATTCAATGTGGAATTGTACATCTCTTGTTTTGTATGATGTGTTTCGTTATTCCTATTCTCTTTACCGGTAAATGCGAGACAAAAAAGGTTATAGGGAACATTGTAGTCATTCGATAATTATTTGTATAGGCACAATATGAAGAGGATATGTATGTCATTTCTGGTAATAATAACTTTCCACTGATTATTATTATTATTATCATACGTTCATACTTGCAATTCTCCGTTCTTATGGTGTGTCTAGTTGATCGGTCTCTGTTGGCATATGGATTCCTAAGTGAATGCCTCAGTGGGAACAACGTCATTCACTGGGGTGCAGGTAAGTCCAGTTGATGAGTCCTAAGTAGGACGAAACGCGCCTCCCGGATTTCACTTCTAGCCACAACCAAAACAATTATTATTTTTTCATTGAGTTGTCAGAATGAAAAGACGTTTAAATGCACAATACTGTTTTCAATTAGTTCTCATCAGGCTTTCCGCTAATATACGTAGACTAGTATTTGTACTGGGTGATGATTGAAGGCGAAATGAAAATTTGGACCACGATGGACTACCAGGTTTCCAGCCCGTCACACTACCAAATGAGCTACGAGACCCTGACGCTGACTAGATTTTTAACTCACTTCAGTCATTAAGAGTTTTGCCTGACTACCATGTGAACTCGTAACGCTTTACTACCGCGTGACCGCTTGGTCTCTGGTTGGAATTTCATCACGGTCCAATTTTCGATTTCACCTTCAATCGTCACCCAGTATCAATACTAGTCTGCCAAACCACGGCTATCTCAGGTATTCAAAATGATAATCAACATGATGCTCCCTCCTCACTAATCCAGTTAGATTTGGATTGGGATGAGAAGTCCTGACTGGACAGCCAGTGTGAGTATGATCAAGCGGTTGTAACGCATCACGAATTCACATGATAGTCAGGCAAAACCCTTGATGAATGAGATGAAATAAATATCACGTCAGCAGTCGGACCTCGTAGCTCTATTGGTAGAGCAACGGGCCGGAAACCCGGTGGTCGCTGGTTAGAATCGTTCTGTGACTTAGACTTTCAATTCACCCTCAATCGTCACCTATATGCATTATTTATTTATCTGAAAAGTCCATCCAGACTGTTATATTTAATGACAACAAACGTATTGTCTACATATCTTAACCATATTTTTGGTAGAGTAGAGCATTTCGTTATTGTATTCCTTTTTAATGAATGCATGAACGAGTTAACTACTAATTGAGGATACTGTAAATCCCATTGCCGCACTGTCCGTCTGTACAACTCTCTTTTGAATGTGTTTACAGTTGACCGTAAGCATAATTCTGGACACTTAAAATTTATCTTTGATCCAATATGAAACATGATTTTAGGTCATTTGTTGGTTATAAATGATGTCTAATGTATCTTTAACAGGTACATTAGTAAATAAAGAGTAAATAACAAAACTTTCCATTATTATTTATTTATTTGTCCCTTGGGTTCCTAGTGGAACATAGGGCTTCAGTAGCACGTCTCCAGTGCACTTTGTTCTCTGTAATCTTTTCAACCTGGCTCCACGACAGCCCACAAGCTCTCATTTCTTCCTCACAAGATCTCCTCCATGTCACCCTTGCTACAGATGCCCAACTCGTCGCTTCCCATCTGGGTTCCATTCGACGGCCTAGCCTGGTGTGTGATGTCTCCAGTCGGCCTTCTCAGTGTATGCCCCATCCAATCCATCTCCACTTCCTTCTGGATATTTGTTGAGTGATAGGTTCTTGGTTGGTTGGTTGGTTGCCAGCCAGAGTTCCATGTTGCTTATTCTTATTGTTCTGGCTGTCTGAGCTTCAGTAACGAGTGAGGGTAGGTGGCAGTTGTTGATGAATGTCTGTAGTTTGTTGGAAATGCCTTTGTAACGCGTCGAGTTTCTGAGCCATATAGGAGCACTGACTTGACGTTTGTATTGAAAATTGGGATGTTGTTCACGCTTTATGCTGAGTGGAGTGCAGAAGATCTGCAGACTGTTTTCAGGTTGATTAACGCCTGTCTTGCTTTTCCGATCCTGGCTTTGACGTCAAAACTTTCCATAATTTTGTCTAATTCAGTATAAGATATGAAATGATCTTATTCAGAGGAATTCTTTACTACATATTTTAATTCTGCATTTTGTGAAAAATATTTTATAAAACCTTCCTTTTGTATTACCGTATTAATCCAATGATTATATGCGATTGTACTGCTTTAGAATGACATCGCTAAAATTATTCACTCTTTTCTGAATGTTCCACGTTATATAACTTAATAGGGATTTCTAAAGTACATTCGCTGCGGTGTTTTTCACTGTCATATTCTATAAAATAATTAAGAACGTGGGATAAACAATCTGTTACTTTAAAACTAGTTTGTCTCTCCTAATGTCTGTTAAATTAAAATGATTTTTCAAATATTTTACTACGTCATACAGGAATAATTTACTTAGTGGAATCCAGGACGCGCGTTACGCTGAGATCGATCAGTTCAATCCAGTATAAAAACATGAAATTACAAGTACTCACAAATAATAATAGTTGTACAGGAAGTTACCACATATCGTGTAATGTCTGATGTCGAAGTGTCATGATACATGGTACAACAAGGAGACCAAGAAATGCACCACATAAAATAATATACCACTATTTTATAGACATATGGCGAAGGGAATTGGATAGAACGAAAAACACAATAAGGTAGTTCAGTAAGATATATTCAACACAAAACATTCATTACTTTTCAGCAGCGAAATATAGAAGGAAGCTACAGGATAGTCGCCTCTGGTTTCGATTCCGAGCTATATCTGATAGCATTTCATTACACTGAGTTGCGTGATATCAACATCAATATCAACATAGGACCAAGCATTACTATGTAACGGTCCGAGTTGCCACAGCTCAGTACAGTACATCAA